TCAGCGTATTTAAGTCCTTAAAATCATAACGATTGCTTAAGTACCCCATTTTGCCGCCCCCCCCCTCCCCTATAATTTAAATATAATCGGCAAAAGTAATCAAAAAAGGAATTACATAAACATATGCTGGATTTTAGAATATAGAATATGATGTAACGAGCTTCCGAAAAGTTTATTTGTTGAGAACAAAGGAGTGATTAATAATAATAAGGTAGATAGAAGCACAAAGCTTGGAAGCTAATTGAAGTAGTGAAACTGTGCTCAACCACGACGTTTGAATATTGGAATAAAGAGAATGTTCAATAGCGGTGTACATCACACAGGGTTGCTCATGAGCCATACCGTAAATTAAGTGTACAAATATAATTCTCTCATGTGGTTTTATATCCTGGGAGCTTTTAATCATCGTGATACCGCAGCAAGGGTATTTACAAAATCGTTCGCGGTTATTTAAACTTACTTGAAAGGAGGGGGGCTTAAGGTTAACTCCTGTGATCGATTAACATGAAAGCTTGAAAAGCAAGTAAAGCGCACATGACTACCAAAGAGTATTAGAGCGTATGCACCAGCGAGTACATGCCTGAGAGATCACGGAAAACACTTGTCTCTATCTCGCTGCTCTCTGCCTGCCGTAGACGTCATTTGTGTCCCGGAGGGCTTTTATACGTTAACCGGGATCAAACTCTGATTGTACTGCTATCACTACACGTTTTACGGTTCATTTCAAACTTGTTTTACATTTCTGCTTGTACAAGAACTCGTTTGTTTCAATTTTTATCTGAAAGGATTACAAAGTTATACTTTGTCCAAACAATCGACAACTTCTGTTATTTTGTTAAGAATTTACATTATAAAATGCTCAATTTGTGGATAGTTTGGATTACTAAGTACTTTAACTATTTTTTTTGCTTGGAGTTAGTTCTTGGTTTTGCCGCTAGATGGCTTAGGCTTCTCGCTAGTGAAAAAAATTTTACTGGAGTATATATAAGAGACAAACTTTCGTCTATTTCAGTGTGGGATTAATGAGTTATTATTGAACAACTTTCTAGATTAAAAGTAATTAAAACTCATTCTAAGAAAAATCAAACTTTCTCATTAATTAAAAAATATTTAAAGTAAAATGATGAAGTTTTTATTGACATTTTATTAATTCAATGTTATTGATATAAAATTTTGTTTGAAGAAGATTGACATTCTTAAAATTTACTTCTTGGTTTTGCCGCTAGATGGCTTATGGTTCTTGCTAGCGAAAAAATCTTACCTGTGTATAAAAAAAGACCAAAATTTTTTAAATCATAAAAATAATAATTTGTCTTATTTATAAAAAATTTCACTGAGTAGAATTTATTAAAAATATTTTTTATTAAAAAATGTTAGAATTAAAAAGCTTCAATCAAATTCTTTTCATACTAATATTTATATGCATATAAATTCAATATTAATTATCAATATTGAATTAGCTTTGTTCTTTAACCAACCCGAACCCGAATTTAATCTAAAACAAAATTCCTCGTATAAAAAAATAAAAATTGGATCCATACGCGAAAATAAGGTAATAAAAGAACAAAGAATAAATAAAATCTATTTCATCTCGGATCGATTTCCGCTTCGACACGCAGGTCGGAATGTTAATCCACATTCCGCTGAGAAACTAATAAAGTTTAAGTAATATATAACGCGTATCGATTCAATTGAAAGCATAATAATAATAATAATAATAATAATAATAATAATAATAATAATAATAATAATAATATACAAAAAAAAATAATAAAAGACGGATCAAGCCGTAGGATCTGAGATGAATTACCTCGAGAATTCAAAGTTTGTTATTTGGACGTCAAATAATCTCTGGTTGCCATTTTCACGTCCATTGGGTTCACATAGACATCGGATGTAGTATGAATTTGGACGAACAGTTGGCATGTCCCTGTGGCATTGTGTAGTGTCTAGTCCGGTGGTCTTCCTTTATATCTATTCGCCAGTTTGCTCCAGATCCATGTACCAGATGCTAGAGCTGTAAGCTGTACCCAGCCAAGGATTCGAAATTTATAAACCAGTAGATTGCTGTCGTTGCAGCGTCAAAGACACTAGATGCTAAATTCTAGACACTGGACCAATAAATGCAGATTGTAAACTTGGATTCGATCCAACATCAAACTTGCAACTAATACTGGCCGTCTTCAGTATATTCTCCTCTTCTATTTCCTATTTTGTTGATAAACTTAGTCAAAGAGTTGTTAATTGAACAAGTTTTCTAAAATTTGAACCTTTGTATCAATACAATTAAGTTTTGGACTGTAGACTGAATACTTTTTTGATTTCTAATTAGTTGCTTCGAAAAATTAAAAATTTTTTTTAATTGAAAAGTTGTTGACCTGAGTACGATTTCAGAGAAGAATTTTCATCAGATTTTGAAGTTTTTGAGTCCAAGAAAGTAATTCTGACTATTTTCAGAAGAACGTTCGTATTATTGTGTGTAATTTATTTTTGTCGTACGATATCTTTACAATAAGTGAACCGATTAAGACGCGTGTCATGTAAATCGAAAGGGTCTACTTAGACTTAGATCTGATTTAATTTCGAATTCAATTAGTCGAACCGATTCAAAGATATTCCGAAAAATCACTGAGTCAAGAACAATAATTAAATAACTTTCTCGACCCATTTATTTTTGGCAATAACTCGTGAACTAATTATCCCATTTGAATCTGGTTTGTAGCAATCTACTCAGTTTCCAAACCTTTAAACGCTGTTAAACTTTAGAGTAAATCGGTCTAATAAATTTAGAATTATTCAAAAATAAATAACACTGGGTCAAGAATACTAATTTGGAAATTTTCTTAATCCATATATTTTTGGCGATAACTCGTGAACTAATTACCCAATTTGGACCCAGTTCGCTGGGGATAACTTGGAAATTGATAAAGGGATTGATAACTTGGAAGTTCAAGTGAATTATTAATCGAACACAATGTACGACCAAGCCACGTCACTTGAGACGTGACTGCAAAGCGACTAATTTATATTTCACTGCCACGTGTCAAAAATTTAACCTTTGTGTCACGAAAACATGCATAGGTGCTTGCTGCTTTACAGTCTTATTTAATTATTTCACAAATGCCACCGATATACACGGTAAAAAAATATCTAATAAAATTTACATTATAACTATCGTAATGCTGGACTATGCTTCTATTACTGGTAACTGTTAAATATTTTAGATAAGAATTTATTGTTCAGAAAAAATGTTTTATAGTTTACTATCGTAATTTTATTAAAAGATTATTCAATTAAATTCGATTAGAAAAATTACGATATTACTTTCGTAAAAGGAAGAAAATAAAAAATAAGATGTAAAAATATTAATATTCTAGTATTCATTTTTAAAATTTACAGTACTATATAGTATACTATATGGTATACCGTTGTATCTTTCTAATAGAAGTAACAAATTTTACGATAGTTACATTGAACTATTTCTCAATCAGTGTGAGTGTTGGCCATATACAGTGCTAGACTCCGAGGCTATGTAAATGATGAAGGACATCTGTAATAGCTTACCTCGGATAACGTAGCGGGAAAGTCTCTGACTACCAATTCTAAGTTCTGGGTTCGATTCCCGGTCGAAAATATTGATTTGTTTTTTCGGTTACTGTACAGTTACTAATGAGTCGAACTTCTTATTCCTATCCCTCCCTAAAATTTCTTAAGGTAGTTGTCATGGTACAATATTGTCAAAAAATTAGAGATTATACGCGCCGCAAAAGTATATGAGCTTGTAGCTAAGTAATTCATAATTTTTACGCAAGACTGTACTCGTGGAGACGCAACTCATACAATTGTTTCTGTCCGACTCCGTAGATATATACTTTTTCATAAATTGTTGAACTTTAATCCGTTATAAATAATTAGATGGTCAAAAATTTTTTTTAATTTTTTTTTTTAAACTCACAACAAAAACATTAAAAGACTGTCAATTTTTTGAAAGTTTCTGATAGTTAGTTTTTTTTATAACTAAGAAATTGGTACAGAACTGCAGAGAGCGTATGCAATCAATGTTAATTATCAATTTTTAATTGAATTCATCTCGAGTTATAGGTGGTCGATCGACTTCAAATTTTTAGGACAATTGTATCATCATTATCCTTAATAAGTATACAAAAATTTAGAATTTTCTGACGGTATGCCTTAACTGCGACAACTACCTACGCGACAGTTGAATTGTAAAGTTCATTAACACGCCTTGTACAATTTGCTCTAAAGTATTGATCTTCTAACGTCTCTTGCTAGTATTTTTTATTGAATAAAATTGACGGTTGTAGATCGTAAAAATTATTAAATAAGAAGTATAGCCTATAGTTACTATTCTATTCAATAAAAATTACAATAAAAAAATCGTTTAAATTCTTTTAATTTTCTTACCATTAGGCGGTACGAATCGAACAGACTGTAGCATACATCAAAATTTAGTAATATCTTCTTCGTTGAAAGTTGTAAGTTCATCAATTAAATCTCAATCAGCTCAAGTTTCATCCTAACATTGAACATTGTGATAATAATGAAAACCATAATGTTAAGAGATAAATGACAATTAATCGTCGGTAAATAATACACTAGAGTCGTATACATAAAATGACGGAGTGAAAGCTCGGAAAGAGGAGAACCACAGGAGGAGCAAGAGCAGGAACATTTAGTACAGGATATCCGATAAGATAGAATTTAAACTGAAGTAAATGAAGGTCGCTCAAGTCGGTTTAAACCCAAGTGTAACTTGAATCGTTTCTGGTCGATTGACTTTCAACGCCGGCATTATCCACTTGCCTCCATCTCCATTCGACACACTGAATAAGGCACCTAACCATTCATGGAGATAGTTTGTGCTTTAGTATCTACGTACTACGTACATTTGTAAGTGTGGTGCCTATACAAGTGCTGAGTGTATGAAGAGTTTCTGGAGTAAAGAGCAAAGAGTTTGGTTTAGTTTTAGTGGAGCAATAATGCTGGAAGTCATCAGCAATCAGCTGTCGTGAAACCGCTATTTTAATCACAATTGCAATTACAATTACAATTTCTATCTGATTCCCATTATCGTTAAATACACAGAAAATAAGGATATATATCTTGATTCAAGAAAATTATTTTCTGATACTGAAAATTTTCATTAAAAGTTTTAAATAACTCAATTAAATTATTTTTCAGGAAATATTTATTTATTTTTCCAATTAAACATAAAATAATTCGGACTAACAAAATAAAATAATTAAACTCTCAAAGATGATGTTCTTCATATCACCTACACATACTAATATATATCAACAGATTATGGTAGGGTAGGGCGGGGCTAGTTGATCGCAGGGGCAAGTTGTGCAATCGAAATATCTCGAAAACTAAGCAACCTACAACAAAAGTGTAAATGGTGAAAAAAAGAGTTACGAGAGGAGAACACATCGCGCGAAAGTCAACTGCCGTCCAATGTTTAGACTAACTGGCAGAACGTTTTCTTTTTTTTTTGCGTCAAAAAAAAAAAAACAGGTCGTTAGAATTTTTCTTCTATACTCGCTTAAAATTGCTATTTCGTGATCACGAAAGTATTCAAAGATGACTTAATGTTTGCCCTTTCGATTATATATGATTGTTTATTTTTAATTCTTGTCATTCTTTTATAACCTAACTTTTATTTTGTTGTCTCAATTGGGGCTAGTTGAGCAAGGCACTGACTGCGTGTTAAACCAGCCCTACTAGATTTTCAATATTGAAAAATGAAATTTTTCTTCACTAAATTAATAATTATCAATTGGTCCGTACATGTGATGATTTAATATAATGTGTAAAAATTAAAATAACTCATATTGATATTATATTAATAAATATATAACATAGTTATAATTAATATTGTTATGTTTATAATTATTATTATAATCATAATTATACGTATGTTGAATTATAATAAATTAAATATTTGCTTGTTAATTACAATTTTATTCTGTTTTCATATCATTCTATACAGTCATTCCGTCTATTTTAGCCATTGCACAACTAGCCTCATACCCATGCTCAACTAGCCTCACTAGTGGGGCACGTTGAGCAATTTGAAGCGCTCGCGTATTTCTGGGAATAACTTGAAAATTTGGACTCGGATCGTTTTTGTGTCGCTAGACATTTTGAAGGAGACTAAATTACGAACCTAAAAGTATATGACTTGATTAAATCCGATACATCGTCTTAAAGTTATGGAAGGTCGAACCAAAAAGTGATCAACTAGCCCCGCCCTACCTTATCATTCTATCTTAAAAGCAAACACCGATCAGGGTTCGAGTCCGGTCTCGGGTTAAATTTACATTATTCTTAGTTTCGGACAAAAATAAATATTCTCAAACCAATGACATTAATATTATTGAGTTAAGTATTTACTTCTTCAGCTCAGATAATTATTTATTAAAATTCCAAATCGTCGACTTTTAAATGAAAACCTTTTTACCTTAATTTAAGAACAAATTATTTTCCGATCAAAATTTATTTTCTTAATTCAGCTATTTCTTGAATTATGAAAAAGTTTCTTTAGTCCAACGAATTTTTATAGATCAAAATTTTCTAAGGTTTGTTAATTTTTATTGACGTTTTTTTAATTTATGAGATTTTACAGCCGCTGTAGGAAAATAATGATGATAAAAAAAATGAAAAATTTAATGTTCCAGGTGTAAACAACCCGGCAGATACCGAACCGACTTACCAGCAACGGCGGTGGTTATTTGCTTCCATAACGAAGCCTGGTCGGTTCTGCTGAGGACGGTTCACTCGGTACTGGATAGATCGCCGGAGCACCTCATTCAGGAAATTATCCTCGTCGACGATTACTCCGACATGCGTAAGTGGAAATATTTGTAATGTTTATGGATCTAGAGCCTCAAAGGCATTCAGAAACTCATTAAATATTATATTTTCATCCTAAAATATTTGTTCAGCCCTTCAGCTTGCCCTACTGCTTTATCTCGGGGATGTAATGAAATCCAATAATGCTCTCGAGTAAATTTCATTAAATTTTAGATTAAAGCCGGTTATTATGACTTTAATACGAGATTAAATTGTCTTGTAAAGAAGCTGTGAGATAATTTTACAAGATTGATGGGACGATTGGTAATGAAGAGTTTAAAAATATTTAACTTCTTATTAATTACTAAAAAAATCTTCTGAAATTAAGATGTACGCTAAGACTATTAGTTGCGTAGAATCAGAATTCGAAAAAAAAATTAGTATTTCTTATTTTTTCCGTAACTGGCAAAATACTTTATTGATCGTTCAAAAATCGGGTTTTGTTGTTGGAATATTATCGGCACAACTATACAATTTGATAAGCACAAATTTTAGATTTTTTTAAAGGGTAGTTCTTGGTTTTGTCGCTAGATGGCCCACGGCTCTCGCTTCTAGAAAAATCTTAGTAAATTATATATTGACGCGGCGCAAAAAAATCAAATTGTTTTTTTCTTCAAGTTTACCATGAAAATATGTGAGTTTACAATATTTCACACGCCCTCAACAAAAATCAGATCGATAAAAAATTGTTTTAGAGCCCGCTCAAGATTTTTTAAACTTCGAAATTAGAGTTCTTAAAATTTTTTCTTTTAACTTGTCAATTTCAATATCAACGAACTTTAAATTTTGTTTCTATCAAGTTGACACACTGAACAGTATAAATAAACCACTAAGGAAATGGATGAAAATCTTACAAAACAATAATTATTTCTGTATTGTAAATTACAAAATATTTATTCAGCATCTGAATAAATAAACTCTAAAAAATCCTTAGTGACTTCTATAAAAAAAAATCTGGAAAACGGTTGACCCCAAAGCCCATTCCTGCAACTTCCCGCTAATTCCATATCTAAGCGCTTGAAATTCCACTTATGACGTTTTTGAGCTCTTCGATCTTAAAATATAATTTATATGTTATTTCAAGCTCTCCGAGCTCAAAGAGTTCTAAGCTTTTAAGCTCTTCGAGCTCAAAAGTCGGTTAGAAGTTTATAAAACAGTATTTTTTGAATTTTCAAACCGCAATAACTTTTGAATGTATAAACCGATTTTCACGCGGTTTGCAACATTTCATGCAGTTTTTCAAATTCTATGATATAACTTGAAATACAAACTTATCAAACCAAAAATTTTAGAGAAATTCGAAAAATTCACTTTTTCCGATTTTTTTCGACAACGATAACTCACGAACCAATCAACCGATTTTCACGTTCTTGGCAGCGATCGACGTGGTTTTTTAGACTCTAATAATTATTTTAACTCATCAAAAACGATCCAAAAAGAAATATCGAAGTTATGTGAAAAAAACTTTTTTCCAAATTTTTCGTTTTCGTTAACTCTCGAACGAATCCACCGATTTTGACGGAAATGGTGGCAATCGACTCGGTTTTTCAAATTTAAGAGCGGGTTAGTTTTTGGAATTGATCGGTCCAGCCGTTTAGAAGTAATTCCAAAAAAACCGTTTTTTGAAAATTTTATTTTTGAGATTTCCTAAAATCTAGCGAACCGAATCGATTCAAATTTTCACGAAATTTAATGGCAATGATTCTCTTTGGATTGCTACCTATCTCGATCCGATCGGTCAAGCTGTTCAAAAGTTATAAGAGGTTTACACACACACAGACACACACACACACACACACACACACACACACACACACACACACACACAC